AGGAACGGGGAGCCCCACGCCCCGCGTGCTTCAGCCCTGCTCGCCGCCTGTCCGGGCCCGCTTGCGGGCGGCCCTCGCCTCCTGGTAGCTCCCGGATTTCGCCGCAGACATCCTTTCCGGCTTGGTGGGCAGCCAGTTGGGACCAGCGGGCCGGTTGCCCGGGTAACGCGGGAGTCGGTCCCGGCCTGCGCGCCTCAGCCCTGGGCCTGAGCTCAGCGGGCTTGGGGGCCACCGCCTTCCGGGGAGCGCGAAAAAAAGGCCGACCACCTATGCGCACCGCCACCGGGAGGAGCTGCGGCCAGCCCGCGCCCATCCCTGCCGCTGCGGTCACTGGGACGGCAGAGCAGTCTCGCGCCCGGAGCGCCCCTGCCATGAAGCCCAACTTCTCCCTGCGACTGAGGGTTTTTAACCTCAACTGCTGGTGAGTGAGCCCGTGGGGTGCACAGTATCTTTCGCACTCACACAGTCATTCGCTTTCTAACATCCAGGCCACGGCTCTTCCCTGTCCTACAAACTCAGGGCATGGGAGGAACCTGCAGCTCCAAGGCTCACACCTGGCCCCAGCTCCAGTGATGTCCGGAGGGTTGAGAACTCCAGCAATCACCTCCTCGTCCCTTCTGTTCCCAGGGGCATTCCCTACCTGAGCAAGCACAGAGCCGACCGCATGAAGCGCTTGGGGGACTTTCTAAACGTGGAGAGCTTCGACCTTGCCCTGCTGGAGGAGGTGGGCTGTATGGAACTGATTTGGAACCTTGGGAGGAGGGGCGGCTGGGGCGCAGGAGGAGACTTTTCCTTTGGGGAAAAGGTCAGGCAGGCAGCCTCACCCCTTCTCTCAGGTGTGGAGTGAGCAAGACTTCCAGTACCTGAGACAGAAGCTGTTACCCACCTACCCAGCAGCACACTATTTCAGGAGGTGAGAATCCTACTGGCCTGGAAGCCCGTCTCAGACCTGGAGGCTCTTGGCCCTGTCAGCCCTTCCCTTTCCAGCCTGGACCCTCCCCTCGTCTCTCTCTCCCAGCATGCTTTCCTCTGAATGTGGGAGCAGGAGAGGGTGGAACCAGGAAGATCCTAGCTCTTCAGCCTGGTCACCTTCCCAAAAAGGCTGTTTGTTGCTTTTAGCTGTGTTGTGGGCCTGGTCCCAGCAGCAGAGAGAGAAAAAAGTAGCTAATGAGTGCTGGGAAATGAGAAGGGTAGAGGACTGGGGCTTTCTCTTCCTGCTCTGACTATCAGTTGGAACTTGTCTTTCAGCGGCATCATTGGCAGTGGCCTCTGTGTCTTTTCCAAACACCCAATACAAGAATTCACCCAGCATGTCTACACCCTCAATGGCTACCCCTACATGGTAAGCCTGACCTCTGACCTCTTCCACCTCCCTTCCCCACTCCACCTCTACTAACACAGTAAAGGAGGCAGCCTTACTAGGGTTGCAGAGGATGGACAGAAAGGGTAGCAGTTCCTGAGTTCCTGTCTCCTCCTAACTGCAGGTCCATCATGGTGACTGGTTCTCCGGGAAGGCTGTGGGACTGCTGGTATTCCATCTAAGTGGACTGGTGCTCAATGCCTATGTGACCCATGTGAGTGTAGCTAGCAGTGCTTAAGCTGGCAGTGCTTAGGGGACAGGCCAGGGCCCAGTCCTGGGAGGGAGAGATGGGACTCCTTTAGCTGGGCTGCCTGGGGGTGAGGTGTTGAGCAGCGGGATCTCTTAAGGTCAGTAGGCAAGCTTCACCCATTTTTCATCAAGCACCATGCTGAGTGACAGATGTAAACTTGACTTAGACCTGTCCCTGGGCCCTTCAGTCTCATCTGCTGTAATCTCATCTATCTTGCTTAGCTCCATGCCGAGTACAATCGACAGAAGGATATCTACCTAGCACATCGTGTGGCCCAAGCCTGGGAACTGGCCCATTTCATCCAGTGTGTGAGCCTGGGATTGACTAGGGACTTGGGATGAGGTCCAGGGGCTGAAGGGTTGCCAAGGCCCCACTTATAGGGGTAGAGCTGGCAAGGGAAGACTTCTGCCTCATTAACTTGGTTCCCCCAGCCATACATCTAAGAAGGCCGACATGGTTCTATTGTGTGGGGACCTCAACTTGCACCCGAAGGACCTGGGCTTCCGCTTGCTGAAGGAGTGGACAGGGCTGCATGATGCCTACCTCGAGACCCAGGACTTCAAGGTGAGGACCTGCCTGAGTATTTCCCCACTGGCACCCCCAGTTTCTCTCCGTTCTCCTTCCTCTACATCCTAGCACAACTATTCACCTAGGGCTCTGAAGAAGGCTGTACAATGGTTCCCGAGAACTGCTATGTCAACCAGCAGGAGCTGGAGCTATTTCCCTGTGGCATCCGCATTGACTATGTGCTTTATAAGGTCAGGCCTCTTCCCCCAACATGCCTCTCTTTATCTCTCACCAGCCTGTGCTGACCCTTTGTCCAGCTAGACTAATCTTATATCACTGATTAGAGAATGGGATAGCCAGGAGCTGGTTCTCTGGGATAAGTTTCTCTTTGGCCCTTACTTTTCCTAGGCAGTTTCTGGGTTCTGCATTTCCTGTAAGACTCTCAAAACTACGACAGGCCATGACCCTCACAGTGGCACTCCCCTCTCTGATCATGAGGCCCTGATGGCTACTCTTTGTGTGAGACACAGCCCACCCCAGCACAACCCCAGCCCTACCCACGGTAAGTCACCCCCACCCTTTCCCTTGTCTTTCACTACCACAATCTAGTCCTTCCACTCTGACCCTCCTGCCTCACTCCCCTGCCTTGTTCTAGGACCAGTAGAGAGGTCACCATTGATCAGCGTGCTGAGGGAGGCCTGTACAGAGCTGGACCTGGGTGTGGCTCAAGCTCGTTGGTGGGCCACCTTTGCTAGCTACGTGATTGGTCTAGGGCTGCTTTTCCTGGCAGTGCTGAGTGCTCTGGTGGCTGAAGGAGGCATCAGGGAAATTGCCATACTGCTCTGGACCCTCAGTGTAGGACTGGTGCTAGGAGTGGGTGCAGTCTACCTCTTCCACTTGCAGGAGGCCAAGGGCTTATGTAGGGCCCGGGCTGAGCTCCAACATGTGCTGGGAAGGGCAAGAGAGGCCCAGAATCTGGGCCCAGAGTTTAAGCCAGCCCTGTTCCTGGAACATCAGGAGGGGTACAGGACTGAAGACCAATAAAGCTTGACACTTTTCTGGCTCCGCCTTTTCCTTTGTAGAGGCAGTGATTAGGATCAAAGGTCGGTGTGATTATCACAATGTAGACCTTTAGGCTCCTATACATCTTCTGCCCTCCCTGCATACTCCCTACCTTCCACTTGTAGACAGCCTAAGCCCTATTTATAGAAGACACATTTTTATTGTAAACAGTGAAGTCTTAGCCCAGGCAGCCCAGATGAGCATGGTGGCACTGTCTTGGGTTAAGGTGGTCTTGTAGGGAAGAAGGCAGGCAGCCCACCCTCTTCTAGCCCTGGGACCCTGGCCCTGAGGCCAGCTCACTGAGCCTGCGCTCCTCCTGGAAGCGGATAAGGGCATCTCTCTGGTTCACCACATCCAACAGCTTCCTCAGGATCTGGTCTTCTGCCTGCCGATCTGCAACTGTTTTTAGAATTTCTGAAGGGAGGAGACGAAGTTTAGAGAATAGAGAACTGGGCAGGGAGACAGGAGAGATACAGCCTAATCCTGGCCTATGTGACTTCTATAACCCAACTCTTATTTCCTATCTATGAAATTAGATTTGTCAATACCAGTGATTTTCTAGCACTGTTTCATAGCAGCACTATTTTAAAAGGAAATCCTGCATGAAGGCCCAAACGTGCAGCTCTGATTGAACTGAAGGCAGAGTAGGGGCTTGGAGCCCAATCCTCTGGCTTCCTACTGAATTCCCTCAGAGGCACTCCGAGGAGAGGACTGTGTTGCTTGGTTGGTATCTGAGATCATAAAACTCATGCAAATCCCAGCCCCATGATTTCTACCTCTCCCTACATCCGCATACCTTCCCTGTTCATGTAGCCTCGTAGCTCCTGGTCCAGCTGCAACTGTTTCTCCTCTAGGTTCAGCTCCTGTACTCTGTAGAGGGCAGGGATAGAAGAGGCACAGCTGTCCAGGGTGCCCAAGGACCCAGCTGGGGCCTGGCTCACAAGCCCCTATCACCTCTCCATGCCTCTTACGTGATCATGAGCTCAGCCTCCTCAGCCACTAGGCTGTTTTTCTTCTGAACGAGCTGTAGCAGCTGTCCTAGCCACAGTGCCTTTTGCTGTTCTGGGGAACCTGATAAGAAAGAAGAAGGGTGACAGGTGGTCAGGAGGCCTCCAACCAGGGTCATAGGAGTCCTGGGCCTAAGGAGTGGAACATGCTGTGGCCCAGAGCCTGGTGGTTTGAGGGACTGCTTGGGGCTGAACACAGTCGTAAGAGGCAGAGGGGTGTCCCTTCCCTCTCTTCACTCACTGCTCTGGTTCCTCAAGGCCAGCTCCAGCTTCTTGCCCTCAGCCTCCAGCTCCCTCAGAGCCACCTCAATCTCATTTAGTCGCCGCTGGATGGCCTGAGGGGTACAAGACAAGAGACCCAGGAGTCTGTATTGCTCAAGAATGGAGCACTGAAGGAGCTCTAACCCCATCAGAACTTCTGGGAACCCCTAGGGCTCACCTGGGCTTTACAGAACCTCTTCATCTCCTCCTCCTTAGCACGGCGCAGCAGAGTCCGCCGCCATGTTGGATACTTGTCCATGGTGCCTGAGTTCTTGGCAAAGGTCAGCAGAGCCTGTGGCAGGGTCAGACCAGTCAGGCATATGGCCTGGCCTCCTGGTAGATAGGGGTTGGGGAAGCTTTGTTTGGAAGGGGCCAAAAAAGACCTGGGCTGGAAGTGGGGCAAGTTCTGATAGGAAAGATGGAGGCTTAGAGACATGAAAGAGTCAGACTGGGTGAGAAGATCTTTACCCAGAGGAGGGAGTAAGCTGTAGGTTTCTCCTATGGAAGGGGATGGGGTAGATTTGGTGGATGTGTACTGGTTTCGACAGAAGAGGTGGCCAGGTTCCTTTCACTCACCTGTTCCATATCTGAGTCCAAAGCCACATCTTCCTCTTCCTCTTCCTCTTCTTCCTCTTCACTGGAGGGGGTACTCCCTTCTTCCTTCTCCATGGCCATAAGAACTGAGCAGAGGAAAAGCAGACGTGGCTCAAGATCCCCACAACCTCTTTTGCATTCCCCGGCATTCCCCTCTTCAGGAATCTCAGTACTACCCACTCCATCCTCACCCTGGGTCCGAAGAGCAGTTACCTTGAGGGCTCTGGACTGGCACTCCCCATCCCACAAAGCTGCCTTCCAGGGCCTGGCGTGCCAAGGCAGAGCAGCTGCGGGGGGGCTTGGGTGGAGGCTCCATTTCTGGGTCAGGGGTCAGATTAAGAGAGGACAACCGCTGGCGTTCTGGGCTGGAGAGGCGGATCAGCCGACGGGTGGGCTGGCTAGGGCTTGGGACAGAAATGGCCCCCTCCTGGGAGGCCATGGGAGTCGAAGGGCTCGATGGCATGTTATTCTCACCCAGTGTAGGGAGGTCCTAGAAAAGCCACCATGTGGTTTGGTCAGTGACCTCCCCAGTGTGGGGTTGAGGCTGCTCCTTTAGATAGATGTAGGCCTTGGAATTCATTCACTTACACCATTTTACTGGACAGTGTAAGGCTGTGTTCTAGATACTTGGGCTACAGCAATAAATAAGACAGAAATCCCTGCCTTCAGGGTGCTTACATTCTAGTGCAGGAGAACATTCACTTACCCCTGACAAACTCCTGTGGGCTAAGAGAGACCCCTTTCCTCACTTCCACCCCAACACACACATTCACAGCTTCTACCTGACTCTCAGGGCCTCTGTCACTGCCATCCTCTTTGTGGACTGGCTGGGGCAGGTGCTGGAGGCAGTAGAAATGCCCTGGGAAGGGTAGAAAAGGGGTAGAGACATCATATATTGGCAGCCTAATGCCTGGAGACTCAGTTTATTAGGGAAGGTGGTGGTGACAGGACTCTGGATTTGTAGATGAATTTCTACTAGCCTCCACAGAACCCCACATTTGGGGTTTTGGAAGAGACAGAGAAAATTTAAGCTCAGGGTATTAAAGTGCCATCGGGAGTCTGTTTCCACCTCATGCCCAGCACTCCAGTTCCCCTCTACCTTCAAACTCCTTGGCTCCGGGCAGGACCGGGTCCGGCCCAGAGTCCCTTTGGAGCCCTCGAGGACCTACTCACCATCTCCTGAGTGCTGCCCGTAGCCACTTGGCCACAGCGTGGCCTCACAGATATGGCAGCGGAAGCAGCTCCGGTGATAGAAACGACCATCAGCACAGAGGCGTTCCAGGATATAAAGGTGTTCCCCACAAAGTGCACATAGGTCCCCGGCACCAGCCTGCACCAATCCACAGGCCACAGGGTCAGCTAAAGTCAAGGCCAGCTGCAAAGTTCTTCACTATCCCCGAAATCCCCCTTCCTTCCCTCCCCAAGTCTCTGCCTACAGACAGGGCCCCCATTCTCACCTCCTGGTGTTGCAATGGGGGTGTCAGGGGTACACCAGGCTCTGACACAGGTGGCTCTTCGGTATTTGGGGTCTCAGCCTCTACCTAAGAAGGTTAAGTGCTCAGGCCAGGAGGTAAAAAGGATCAGCTGGGGAGTAGATGTGAACAGATGAATAGAAAGGGCGGGAAGAGAGCCTGGATGGGGGAGGAGGGGTACAGGACTGGACTTGGAGTGGGGAGCAAAACCTGGGGAAGGGGACAGAACATGGGGCAGGCATTTACCTCCAGGCGTGGCTTCTTGCCACCTGCATCCTGCCCATTTTCCTGTAACAAGTCCTACACTCAGCATGGGGCTCTGAGCCCCCAGTCCCTCTCTTCCCCCATTCTCAGTGGCCTTCCCATCACCCCAGGGACCCCCCACTAGGAACCCACTGCCCAGCCCCAACTCTGCCCAGACTCCACCTGGGCCCGGGTCCGTTGCAGGGTCCTCTGCAGTTTGCCAAGGAATAGTACAGCACTGGAGGTTCCTGGAGAGCCTTGGCTGACAGGACCTGCAGGGAGAATTGGGGTGTCAGGGTAGATACTGTGCCCCTGAAATAGACAGCTACACTCTAGCCCAAAAAGATACCTTTCCCAGGCTGTCCCTCAGGGTACCCTCTCCTCCCTCCCTCTCTCTTGTCTCTGTCTCTGTCTCTGTCACTCACTCACTCACTCACACACATACCACTTTACCACTACTACCCTCTAGGTCACCTGGGTTATGGGGTATGTTCTTGTAGGCACTGTGGAAGTGGCTGAGGTAGGCGATGAGGCCCAGTGGGTCACTTCCTGCCACCACTGCCTGTGCGGACAACACAGGTGTGATGCCAAGTTCATGCTCTGCCACCTTCAGTGCCCAAGCAGTCGCTTCCAGAGCCCCCATCCCCTGCAGCTCTGAGGGTTCCCTGCAGGGTATCAGGAAGAGAAGCCAATGGGAGACTAGAACCTGACCCCATCAAAGGGGGAGAGGGTGGGTAGACAGCAGTAGTGGAAGGACAGCGGGAAAGGCTGGGGAAGTGCAAAGGGAGGAGAGGGCACAAAAGGTTTTTATTTCCTATGCTAACTGCCCCCCCCATCACCACCCAATGACAACTTTCTGGCCTTGGTTGGGGGGGGGGTGTCTCTACCACTGACAAAATTGTCCCTATTAAATGCATTTGATTATTACAAGATTTGAAGGCGGAATGAGGCAAGAATACTATCTCTTAGGAGGTGAAGTGACTTGGTGGCACTGGGACTCAAATGGGCGTGCTAATTCCTACATAGTGGCCTCCCCACAATTCCACTGCCTGAAGCAAAGGGATGGACAGAGGTAGGAAAGAGAGGTTATGGTCTTCCAGGGACCCCTGAGCCTAATTTGCAACTCACAGTAGCCCAGGCTGCAGCCGGTTCACCAGGGCACACAGGGCCAGCCCATCAGCCCATGAGGATGAAAGATTGGTGACATGAACACCAGGATATCCAGCTGTCTGCTCCTGACACCAGCGTAGCAGCTCCTCCTGGGTGCACACCGACCCTGGGAAAGGAGGTTGTGTTGTGCCTAAGCCCCCTGGCTCACAGAGAGCCCAGTTGCTGGGTGTGGGGGGTAAATATGGGAGGTGGAAGCAGGGCCCCACCCCTACTTGGGCAGCAAGCTCTTACAGCAGTAATTCCTTTATCCTGAT